AAACTACAGGCCATGGTGTCAGGTCCTTTCAGACAGTCCTTCTAATCTATAAAGTTATAATAATAGGATTGTTAGATGGTAGTTAGTTCCCTATAATGGAAGTTCAAATATATTGCTTTTTAAGGCACTTTACATAAAACTAAAAAGGTCTTTAAAATATATTTTCAGTGGTTTCTAATGGCTGCAGAGATGGTTTACCTTTTCAAATGGAAAAAATTACAATAGAAATCCTACTTTGGAATTTCTTATTCTTGCTTTCCCAGTTATTCACATGATTAATAACACTTCCATGTGGAAAATACGTTTTTTTTAAAAAAGCCTATTTTTAGATTTTTATCGGAAAACTGAAGTAATCAATGCAATTTTTTTTAAAATACAGACTTCAATTATTTGGCATAAAATATAGCTTTAAATAATTGCAATTTAAATATATATATATAATATGGCCAAAATGCATTTTTAGGATCATCTCTATGCAATCTTTCCATCTTAGTAATCTCCACATGTGTTAAGATATAACTTCCCAAATTCAAATGTTGGCTGGGACACTTTGGGAGTTCTGGACTTAACATCTGGAGAATGCCGGATTGGAGAAAAATGGGTTCATATGTACATCTTTCCTCTGTGTTTTTTATTAAAATAACATTAACAAGTGGTTGTGTTGTTGCATCTCTTTATGAAGCAATGCTTACTCAGAGAGAAATGCCTCTGAATATAATGGAACTGCTTAGTTATAAGTGTACTTACTATGGGAGATACATTGGGAGCCAGACTTTTCCAAGGCAAAAATGGTGATTTTATAACTAACAAACTGTCAGTATCACTACGCAATGCACGAGATATACAAAGCAAGGTATCCATTATGCTAAAAAGAATCGCTTTGTTTAAACTTATGAATATGTAAGAACAGACTATATACTTACATTACAGCGTAACGTACAGAGGATGATCAATGGTTTAATTGACTGTTTCACAGTGTAATAAAGATAGCCTTGTCTAATGTCTGGATAGATGCTGACTTCAAATTAGTTAAAGGCAAAATGGATACATTGGTCCCAACAATATCCCAGGTAAATAACAAATAGTTTACCAGCCTCCTTTTTTAGTGATTAAAAAAAAACAGATAAATTTCCTCTCTCTTAATAATGTTCATAACCCTTCAGAACATAAGGATTATTTAAATAGTGATTTGGTGCCCTTTGAAATACACACTAGAAACATTGTTGAATCTATTCCCATTGCATTTCTGAAACCATTTATGTGAAGGCTTTTTGTTTCACGGAGATCTATATAAATACTCAAAGTTACAGAATGTTAAATTTGGCTCAGCTATAGTGTAATGTCAGCAATAGCTCCATTTGCTGGTTTGGCATGCAGCTCACACCAAGGTGTTCAGTTGTGTGTATGTGATATAAGCTATTGCCAATTTACATGTCATTATGCTACCATTCCCTTTTATTGGCTGTCAGCTATAATGGCATGACACCATAAATCAGATCAGATTTCATTATACATTTACTTAAATAAGATAGATTTTATTATAAATTTACCCAAATCATATACAGAATAGAAATGCAAAGTGCTAGCCCAAAACTTGCATTCTTTTGTCTCCAGTATTCTACAGTATGCATGTCATGTTTGTATGTTTAAAGATCTTATAGTATTTGAAGAATTTTTTATGGCCCTCATCAAAATATATCAGTTTGATGTACTTTCTAAGGCAGTGGCCCCCAACCTTTTGGGCACCAGGGACTGGTTCTATGGAGAGAGGTTTTTCCACAGACCGGAGGGGCCCTGGTTTTGTGTGCTGCCTGCATTCCTGGATAGGGTTTTGCTTGTTTGCGCAACCTGCTTTCTGGCATGCCGCGGACTGTTGCTGGTCTGTGGACCAGGGGTTGGGGATCCCTGTCCTAAGGCACATAAAATCACCACAATTTCCTATATGAGCCGAGGTGGCGCAGCAATTAGAGTGCAGTACTGCAGGCCACTTTAGCTGACTGTGTTCAGCAGGTCAGCGGTTCAAATCTCACTGGCTCAAGGTTGACTCAGCCTTCCATCCTTCCGAGGTAGGTAAAATGAGGACCCAGATTGTTGGGGGCAATGTAAAAAATATATATACATTGCTTACTGGTGTACACCGCTTAGAGAGTGCTTGCACTTAAAGCGGTATATAAGTCTCATAAATAAATAAATAAATAAATTCCTATTAAATGACTAGAATAAACTCATGCCTACAGAGATGAAGGAAAAAAATAGAGATTATCCTATATTCAGGGGAAACTCCAAGAAGAGAAAAGATAGAAAATTATCTAAACAAAAAATATAAAAGGAGGAAATATTTTAACAATAACATAGTGGAATAAAATGTTGATAGCCTAAGAGAAGGAGAGAACTGACAATCAAATTGAAGAAGAAATAGTATGGTGTGATATTGGGAAACTGGGGAAAAATTTATAGACGTAGCATGGAGTAGAATGATTAGGAAAAATAAAAACCAGGAAACATGAAATAGAGTGATTAAATAAAAGATAGATGTGCACATATAGAAACTGGAAACAAGTATTACATAATATTAATTTGGGAGGGGGGGAAGGGAAAGATGAATAATGGAATTAAGTGGGTAGAACATTGAATATGAAAATTCCATATTGTGGTATGTTGTTCAAGGCCCAGTTGTATATTCAGGATATTTGCATAAAAATTCAAATAACTACCTTCTGGTGGATTGTTGCATTTACATATTGACATTATGCATCTGGCATTCTGCTTTTCACTGTTTCAGTAACTATGATCCAACATGGGTACACACTGGTTAGCATGTGGGTGTACATTTCAGAGACGGAGTTGTAGTTCTTGAAAATAGCATGAAGAGCCATGAGCTTACATTAGTTTTGTACTGAATATAGTTGTTCCTAAGGAAACCTTTTGTGTAATTTAAAATGAAAATTTGTTGCTGAATATTAACTATTGGTAATTTTAGATGTAAATAACTACATCTTTGCAGTGGAAATTCTAAAAAGGAAATTATTAAAAGCAACTCTTTTGTTTTGAAACATAATATTTTAGACAACTAGTTTTATGCTAAGGGTCCATTTTCAATATAGAATATAGAATCTGAGTCAATATAATGCTGCTCCCTAATGCTATCTATATAAAAAGAGAGGTTCTGCATGTACAGAAGGATCAATTTGCTCTATGATGCCTTAAACATGTACAGGCTCCAGGAAAAATGTAACCTGACCAATATAAACTTTTGAATCTTTTGTAAAAAGTTGACCCTGTTTCTTTTAAAAGTTCCTTCCATTCAGGCTTTCTCACTTAAGACTCTGAAAGAAAGCACCTTATCAAATATTTCAACTGTGTGAACTCAGCTTGCCTGGCTGAGGAATTCTGGGATTTGAAGTCCACAATTCATAAAAGGGTCAGGTTTGAAGATCCCTGCATTAAAGCAAGAGATCAGACAGTTGTTTCAAACAAAGGTGGCTCAGGGCTTGTGACCAAGTTATCTTTAATCAAGACAGTTACTCCCTTGCTTGGCAAGGGGCCTTATTGAGCATTCCTGTTCTTTATTCCATTCTACTCAGAGTCCAAGGGCTTGGGGTTCATGCCTCATCATCTCACTACTCCAGCTTTTCTGATGGTACCTGTGTTTGATCAGCTTCAAGTGATTCCTGGCTAGGTAATTCTGAAGTTTACATTCCACAGGTTCAACTAGAGCAGCTTTGTCAGAGTCTGAATTCTGAGTCATGAGACAAAGTTATTGTGTTTTAGCCTGTTTGGATAGGATAGCAAGCCCCCTGAAAGAGCAAGTACTGTCATTGGATTAGCAAATGGTGGCTGTGGCAAATTAGTGGTTCCAGCTGTGGCCAATTATACGCTTAATAATTTTATAGTAATGTATTGTACTGCTTAGTGATTTATCTGTCAATATTTTTACCACTTGTAATTTCCAGTTTTTTCAAAGCCAACTTCATCTAGGTTATATTGCTGGTAACATCCCATCCTGATTACTGCAATATAGCCTATGCGAGGTTGAAAAATGTCTGGAAATGGTGCAAATAATGGCAAGTAAACTAAGCTGTGCAACAAATAGGAAATATATGAGGTTTGTACTAAAATATCTGCATTGGTTGCTCATGAGGCATAATTACAGTTGTTGGTATTCATCATAAATGTCCTAAACCATACTTTTTAAAAGCATATTCTGCGAAGCACAATTGTTCCTTAAAGATTAATAGGTATTCAACAAATGCCTATTTTTCTTCCCAAGATGGAAGAGAAAATGTTTTGTGAGTTTTCTCACATTGACCATTGAATGAAGATGTTAGCAGATTTCTTCTCAGACATCACATCAAAATAATTAGGGGGAAAAACATTACTTTTGGATAAAGTTTCACAGAGGAACTGAACTTTTATGTGAAAAGGCATTGAAGAGCCTCTTAACTTTTCTATCATCAGTTTTGTGAAAGTGCATTTTCACACTCACTTCAAGAAAGACCAAATACCAGAACAATTATCTACATCTATTTTAAAAATTGAGACAAGATTATGATACTAGCTTTGTGATAATATTAATTAGACATCAATAATCCTTATTAATTTACTGCAGATTATGTCTCAGTCTACCTCTGACAGCCAGTACTAGGAGACATTGATTAATTGGAGAAATCAGGTGTGTCTAAAGTAAAGATCCAGAAGTACAAGTGTTCCCTCAAGGTTTCCAGTCACCTTCTCTTGCTACCAAATTGTAGCTCCCAGTATAAGAAATTGGATGTGCAGGAATAATCCTAATAATGTTTTGTCCTGAATCTATATACTTTTGAAAATATAGACTCCATGATGCCATTCAAATGCAAGAGCTGATCTTGTAAAAATATTGTGGGCTTACGCTTTGACGGGTTTTCTTATTTAAAATCAGATGACAAGAACAAAATAAAAGTGTGAAGATGATTTGTAAATGATGAAAGACCTGGCTCTAATCTTTTTTTTTCTTTTTTCAGGTGAGCAAGAACCAGCAGTTAGTAGTGATTCAGATATTTCATTGATTATGGCAATGGAGGTTGGACTCTCTGATGTGGAGCTTTCCACTGATCCAGACTGCGAGGAGGTGAAATCCTGAAAAAAAGGAAACTATCAAAACATCCTTCTACTAAACTAACAGGCAGTAGCAGGAAGAAGAAATCAGTTGTGGTACACACAATTATCCATATACATATGTGCACATATGTAAGATTTGGGTCAGTTGTGTATACATGAATACCCATATACACACGTGCACATATGTAATTGTATGACCTGCAAAGACTTCCGGAACATTATGTGAACTCCACTTAATTCTATTCTGGGATGGTCATGAAAAGCAATAGTAACAGACGTGTCTGCCTGGATGCAGTTTCATTAACAATTATATTTGTTCATTTCATTGAAAAGAGAAGTTGAAAATGTATTGTTCTAATCCAGGTGCCAGAAGAATATGCCCCTGCTTGGTGGTTTAGAACCATATAACCATATAACTGATATGAAGTCCCCCCCACACACACATCTTTGGTTTTTTTTTAAACAAAAGGGATACCAGAAAATGATTATAGCTGATATTGATGGACATTATTTTTCTTTCTTCTTAATAACCCAAGCTTATTCAAATATTCAGTTCAGAGATCGGAACATTATGGTGTGTCACAAAAATGTATGTATGCCAGGTATTTTCTACATGAAGAAAGCATGGCTTCAGGAAGAAATGGTGCTTCCAACTTTGACTTGATTTGAAGACTCTTTTTATTAAGATATTATTGGCCCTTGGAGATCTGTGCTTCCAGGGTCTTTCAGACAGGAGAACAGAGACTGGTTTGATAGAGGTTGGCAAATTGTTACTTAATCCTGCTGGGTCCCACTCTGAGCTTTAAGACGTTGATGTATGACTTCTGAGTGAGAGAAGATGCATGAAGACAACAATCAGAATGAAATTAAAGGTCAACCAATATATGTGGCTCTTTGTACTACTATATACTCTTCATGCCTTAATGGCTTTCACAGTGATTGATTTGAAATTAGCTTTACTTTAAAAAAAAAAAAGCTTTCCCAAGAACTTTCTGACCTATGAATGAGTGGAATTTATTGATAATATTTGTGGTTAGATGGAAAGAAAATAAAAATGTTGTAGGAGGGCAGCAGGGGTATGGTAGTTTAGGGTAGTTACCAATGGACTCAGATTGTTTATCACACAAGGTATACCTTGAAAATCATTTTATCCCCTCAAAAAAACATTATTAGTTACTCTTATTTTACAAGTGAAAGTTTTCCCAGTTTCCAAACAACTTTTCAATGATTGTGGAAAAGAACACTCAGACACAGCCTGATCTTTATTTATACAACTCCATTTTAATATTGTTGGATAAATAACCAGTAATCCAATTCAGGGAGATCCTTTCATTCCTAGAAAAGAGTAAAATTGTACTAAGAATGAACTGCTTTCCTAAATACCCCTAAATCAAATTGATTGTACCACATTTAAATTCACCTTAAAATTATTCAGAAAGTCTCAGGCACTTTTATTATGATATGTGAAAATATGCTACAAACACCTTTTATTGTTGTTTATACTCCTGATGTGGAGTATGTAGGCTAAACCTAGAAAAGTTTAGATGTAAATGAAAAGGTGATTATTCATAATCTTATTTCTGAATCACAATTTAAAACTGAAACATTCAAACCAAATTCACTAAAAGTTGTTTGTTTTTCTCTAATTAATATATGTTGAAAATAAGTGCCATTAGCTGCTGGAATTTAAGCGATCTTGTTTTATGCTATCACTTAATGAAGAACAATTCATATTTTAATCAAAGTACTTAAGAAGGACTTTTCATCTTATTTTGTCACAAAAGGTTAAGCTAATACTTCTGACAATAAGAATAGTAATTTCAATCATAATAGATAAACAGAGGTAACATAGTCACTTGTACTTATAAACTGAATAGACACAGACTGTTCTTTCTTCCTATAGTAGAATAGTATTATAAGAATTCATCCATAGGTGAGCAAAAAGTAGATATAGATTTACTTAATGGATCCCAAGTAACTGGCTATTGATCAGTAACTACTCCTGATACCTGTATAGTGAACAGTAGCTGCAAAAGGCCCTTCCCACCTTAAATTGCCATTTGATCAAAGTATTGTTTCTTCATCAAAAGACTATGCATTGCAACCTGATTCAATAGTTGAACTTTTAGCCCCATATGTTTCTAAATCCCAAAGTCTGACTTCTGTATCAGCCTCCAGCTGGTGAATCCAAAGACAGAAATAATGGCAGTATTAAATCCTTGAAAACAGAGATTTGCTAACCTCTGAAATTATCCCATGTGTTCTCTTGTTACTTTTCTTATATTCTGATTTTCCTCTCTCTGCATTTAGTTTTCCTAATATGCTATTCTGTTAGGAAACTGAACAATGAAATAATGGCCAAGCTTTGTATCCCGCATGATTTATCATGTTCCACAAAAATTGGAAACCTTTTAGTGCAAATGTCATCATTTATGCCATTTCTTCCTATCCCAGAACACCTTTGGATTCCAGCATACTTTGCGAAATGCCACCTGGGACAGTGCTAAGAACTGGCATTAAATCCAAATGTGGAAAATGTTGAAGATACCGTCTGCTTCCATCTTTCTTTGTTTGGGATGGGAATGAAAACATCGTATGAAACCTAGTTTTAATCTTGTGAATAGTGCAAGTAAAAAATGAGTGTACCTGGGAAAGACAGTTATCTACATTGTATCAAGGCTTGCTGTGGCATCTGATTTATTATAAGCACTGAAACTGCAATTTTGAAAGCAAATTGGTCTCTTTAATATCATTGCCTTCAACAAAACAGCACTGAGAAAGATCAGTCTGCCCCATAATGAGAAATCTTCCCCCAAACTGATTCAGTTCCATTTGACTCTGAAACAACATAGAATCTAGAAATATTAGTATTCTGTTTATTGCTATTTGATGCAAATTGAATAAAATTAAATCCTCCTCTACTAATACAAAAGGAATCTTGGTGGGCATAACTTGTGCTGCCACATATTGTTAACTGTGCCTGTGAAAATGTACCTGTCAGATGATAAAGATGTAGTTGTTTTAATATTGAAAGAGGCTACTCACTGTTCCAGTATATTCTTGTTTAAAAATATAAAGCATCCCTGTCTTCAGTTCAATTCATTTCGAAGACATGTGAGATACTATATTAATTAGTCAGGGACTTTACTACATGGCTATGTCCAGCTTTATGTTATCTAGTGTTGCAGTAAGATGCAGTAAGTATGCCTATTTTGCTGTACTTGATTGTTGACATGTTAAACCATGTTGTCTATCTGCATCCAGCCCAACTGCAAAGTTGGGTTATGATAATCAAAAATAATATTAGCTTGTAAACTGTCCCTAGGCCTGCCTGTGTTTCTCCTATCTCACTCCAACCATTTCCATGTTATCTGAGGGTTAACAACATTAATGACTTATCATTTTAAGCAGTAAAAGTCATTAAGGCACATATACTGGTGGTAGATAGATGGTCAATGAACAGCATGTGTGACTTTGCACTAAGTCTGATGTTTTTCTTTTCCAATGTAACAAATAGGGGGAAGTATGTAATACTCTAAAGAAGCCAATTTGGTGCAGGGGTTTAAGGCATCAGTTTAGAAACCAAGAGACCATGAGTTCTAGTTCCACCTTACTGAGTGATCTTGGGCTAGTCAGTTTCTCTCAGTCCTGAGAAGGAGGTAATGGCAAAACACCTCTGAAAAACCTTGCTACAAAAACTGCAGGAACTTATCCAGGCAGTGTCCAAGAACTGGGCATGAATGAATGGAAGAAATGAATGGAAAATACTGATATTGTGCACTACTTTAGAAAGATGTTTTCTCCCTGTGTCATTAATTTAGACTAGCAGTATTCAACCAAGAACATTCCTTATCATCTGTAACTTCTTTCTTTGAACTAAAGAAATCAGTAATTAAATGTTGCTGGGTTTTGTTTTTTGGCTGTCTGAGAATGTGCTTAGTGCCAATGAACTAAAGCTATTGAGTGTTTTGGATTTATTATTAATCTTCCAATTTACTGAAGAAGTCTTACCTAGTAACTGATTAAAAGCAATAGAATAACCCAGAAAATCAGTTAAACATTATTTTCTAAATACAATAGTTTTCAGGCATAGATATAGAAATATATATAAAAGATCTGAAAAATAGCGAAGATAGACCTGAGTAATGGTCCTCAAACTGATATAGTTTTCTGCATAAAGTCAGTTTAGAGGTCTGGCAAGATAACCTGCCCCAGCCAATTGAATAAGATAAATCTGGTAGAGGGTGAAAGGGATATTAGAAGCTAATGGCTGTTTGCTCTGAAATGCTTAATGTCTACAGGTTGCTTAAACCCCACTAACTATTGAACAGAATGTAACTGGATGAGGTGTCTAAGGTTTTTGGACTGGCTTTCTACTTCTACCACCAAGAGCTTTGAGAAGAGAAATAATTATTCTATTGTAGTGAAATGATCTAAATGTGGACTGTATGTTGATGGTCAACCATGTGATAACAGTAGTAACATGTTGGAAGGCAAAACTACAGATATTCTGAATGACCATGCTATCCTCAGATGGCACTATATCATTAAAGTAAGACCTGTCCATCAGGAGCTCTCCATCATTCAGCTATTGCGCATGAAATGCAGGAGGGGAAACGTATCTGTAATGTAGAGAGCAAAGTCTTTTGCTAGCTGTGTTGCTATATATAGCTGGTTTTATGAGAACGTATACGATATTACATTGGATTATCTATTTAATCAAATTTAATAATACAGAACAATCTCTGCCGATGCACAATTCTAATAACTTCATCAGTGTTATTAAGAACAGACTTATTTGAGCTTGTAAGATCTTCCAGTAGTATTTATAAAATCTTTCTCTGTTCTTGCTTACCACATAGGGAGAGTAGTTCTAATTTACATTTGCACAATACACAGTTGGTGAAAAACTGAGATATTATTTTTCTGTAGTTCTTTCAAAAATCACGGCCCACTAAGTATTTCTAGCATGCCATTAATATAAACTGCATCATGATCCTTGGATGCAGTGTTGCTGCCACCTCAAGTGTATTTTTACCAAGAAGTCTATGAAGCAGGTACAAAATAATGCCTTTTCCAGCATCTGCTTGAACATATTATCGGTTACAGAGAGCTGGAAGAGAATCATGCTTCTGAATGTGCTTCCATTGGCAACCAGACAAATCGATAATAAAGGAAAACACAGTTAAGAGGATAGCATATGTACAGACATGGAGAAACAACTGATATTGCTGGAAATTATATAAAGACTCTGTCTATTTTACTGACAGATGTAGTTCTGAATCTTCTGAAACATTCCCCAAGTATTCATATACAGGATTTCAGTTGAGAAAGCTTTAATACAACATTTTGTTTTTTTAAAAGAAGTATTTGTTATAAGCAGGCCCTAGGATAATAGCAAACAGAAAAAAAATTGAGCTGTAACAAACTTTGTTTTCAACTGAAGCAATTGATATAATAGTAATGATGATGGTGATGATGATGATATTTGCTAACAGCTACATAGCAGAGGAATGCCTCTGCTGTAAAAATTCCAGTTTTTAGAACTTCTCTCTTAATATATCTGTTGCTTTAGTAGTTGGAAATTAATCTCACCATAAAAATGCTGAATCATCCACAAGTGGGATTGAGGGGAAAGTGATGTCCATTATTATTTTTAAAAAAGATGAAAAGGAAATTGTATTGAAAATACTAAAAAGCCTCTTGAAAAATCCAATATTTATAACGTACCATTCTCAGCAAATATTTTTTGAAATGTCTCTTACAAGAATGTATGTGTGGAAGACTAAAAAAAAAAAGAAACTGAACATTTTTTCTTCCTGTTTGCTTCTTTTGTATCATGTTTGTTTGTTTTGAAGGCATCAAATGTTACCCATTTCTTTTGCTGCAGTGGTTTACTGATGTGAAATATCAAAATGTTTTTTACATGTACATAGTATCATTTCTTCTTCCCTTTTTCATGGCTAAGCCATCTGATGAAGGTATTTACCATTTTATAAATAGAATAAAATGTAAAGCAGGAATTGATTTGGTGGGTGGGGAGGGCTGTTATTTTTATAGCAAGATGTTCCTTGTACTTATTAGCATTTTAAAATAATTTTGTACTTGTCAAACTGTACATTCCATCCATTTCTCAAAAATATTTTTTATTTAAAGTACTTTATAAACACAAAAACATTTGATAAAGAATTTCATCAATAAAGACAAAAATATTTGGATTACAGTATTAGCTCCAAAGTTTTCTCCTGCTGTATCATATAGACTGCACACTATACCAGCAAATGCCAATTTAAAAACAATACTAGAAAAATTCCTTTTAAATAATGGCAACTAAATTATTTTTAATTACATTTTTTTTGCAATTTCTGTTTTTTAACAAAAAATTGCTTCTATTTGCTGGATTTGGAATATTTCCCAATTTATATCTGAATGAGGAGCGTGCTTTGACAGCACTTTTGCTGAGTTTTATTCAGGTGTACTGTTTGCTCTTCAGAATTATGCTCAGGAAAACCTTTGTTTTTCTGTTTAAAGCTGGATTCAGCTCTGTCTATGCTGATTGCCTAGTATTCTGTAAAGCCATAAGGCCATTTCCTCTTTCACTCATCTAAAAGTTGTTGTAGCATTAATTCATTGTTTAAAAATTTATAACTGTGCTTTAAAACCAGTTTAAAAATAGAGAGTGGAGATTACATACACACATGAATATGACACTGTAAACAAGAACTCTTCAGAATTTTGGCTTATTAGCAAACAAGCAACCTGGTTCCTACAAATGGAGGAAGAAAACAACTGCAAATTAAAAAGAAGCCATGGTTTGGCTTTGAGCTTTCTCTCTGCCTTGTTTCAGAGGACAAAACTGAATCTCCCATTTGAATTACATTAAACCTGCTATTTGTTAACAATATCTGCCTAGACTAGAGGAAGAGCTATCAAGATGACCAGGGTCAGTGCTTGTGCTGACCAGTGTCTTGATCAGTAGCAAGCCAATATTCTGAAGAAGTCAGGGATGGCTAAAATCAGTGCTTTTTTTCTGGGAAAAAAAAAAAAGGTGCCGGAACTCACACACGTCATACAACCCGCCTTGCCTACCCTACAAGGTTCCATCCCCAAAAGGTGCCGAAACTCCGTTCTGGGCATTCTATGAGAAAAAAAGCCCTGGCTAAAATAATCAGAAGAAAGAATACTGTAATCTGTCCTTGCCATTCCAAATACTTGAGACAGGCTGGCCTTTCAGTCATGCTAATATGTGAAGTGCTATATAAACTGATTGTATTAAACAGAAAAACCTAAGGCGATGAAATTGTTAGAACAGATTGCGTGCTTGAGGGGGTGTTGTTTTCATGTGCTTTGTTTTTGTTGAGTAAGTCTCCTCTAAAAGCCTACTATCTTTTAAGATTTAGCTATTCTAGGTCCCCCCCCCCGTTTGACAGAGGAAAACAATCCAGCACAACTTACAGCCTAGTCTTCATTCTTTAACTTGATTAGCAAAATAGAGAGGAAGATGGAAATCATCACAATCGCCCATTAATATTTGCATAGGCAAAGGTTTGTGAAGCATTTGTTTTCCAACAATATTTAGTGAAGTGTTGCAAATATATTTCAGTCACTAGCATATCTCCTGTTACTTTATTTCTGTAGCTTTTTTATGTCTCTCACCTTCCTTTCCAATGCACTTTATATCACTTGGAAAATGTGGGAGTCAGACACTATCACTAAAGGGATTTGCCTAAAATCAAGAGGAAGGCACTTTGGTTTTTCTTTATTGTTGTCCTTTCTGTACTTTTCAGTTGAGACAGTAACTTCGTGAGGGTCAGGAGAAATATTGGAAAAACATTATTCGGTAGTAAAACATGGCTATTTTTGTTATATAGAGAATTATAATGTAAATATGTGATTCTGTGTTATTCTGTATTAGTAAAATATTGCAACTGTAAAAGCTGAAGGACTGAGTTCTAAGCAATTTTATTGCAAGGATTTTTTAATAAAAATATCTGAGAAGTGTCATACATTTTTCTTAACAAATGTATTGGTTGAACTTAATTTCTCACAACAGCAAAACTTGAAATCATCTCACATACTACTCCTGGGTGCTACAAATTATAATCTACAAAAATCCATGGAATTTGATGGAACCATTCAATTGAATTTTCACATTTTCTTGTGTTAATATATTTTCTATGTGGAGAAAAAGGAATTAAAAATTGTTTCTCATAACAGCTGCAGTAAAAGAAACTTAATTCAGCAGCCACTTCATAGAATTTTGTATTTTATACAAAGAAAATTGTATCTTATAATCAACGAGGTTGCAGTATTAATTACAAATAAAAAACAGGTAAAAAAAAACAGTTTCCTGCCCAAATGCCAATGATTCCAGGTACCTCTTCAGTGTTTTAAGTCTGGATCTCGTCCATGTTTAAGAATTTTGTATTATTCAGAAATTAAATACAAATAGTCACAAAGAAAAAATATACATGGAAAAAGGAAAATTCAATAAAATATTTAAAAACTACTTGGTTATAAATTTTATTATTTCCTTCCACTGTGCCCAACTGATAATTACAGTCAATATATTTATAAGTATTAGAAATTGTTTTCAATTTCTATAAGTACTTTTATTTATTCCTTCCACCACTTAGGAGTTGTAAGTATATGCTTGCCTTGTGGTGTAATGTGTGATATATAAGTCAGCCATTCTTGCTTAAATTGAGTTAAGCTTCTGTTATGAATTATACTGTTAATTTTGTAATTGTTGCATATTCTCCAAGTTTAGTTTTCCAGTCTGATATCGCAAATGGATTGCATCCATTGATAATATTCTGGAACTATAAAAAAATTAAAAAGGTATAACGTAAATAAGTGATAGAACAATTTAAATGAATGGTATACCTACAATTGGAAAGTAAAATGGCTGCAGTCTTGAAAAATGGAAGTGAATGTATCAAAACACACACATATGTATTCTTGTATAATTTCCACAATCTGAATTTACCATTCTTTTAAATTTAAGATTAAAAGCAGTAACATGTTTTCTTCATTTAAATAAAGATTTTTTTTCTCAGTGATCTCTTTGCAAAAATGCTTCTTTTATACTTCCATGGAAAAATACACTTTGATTGATAGGGAGAAATTAGATCTATTCTTTATTTATTCATTCACAAGCCAATGTCAATGTTTTCCTTCCACATAAATTAGTTGTATTTTAAATGAGTATCCAAATTAATGTTTGTTAACATTCTGGCTCATTTTCTAGTAGAATGTCTCAGAGCTTAAAAAGATACTCAGGTTGGGATAAGTAAGGTATTTCAATTAATTTTCTGAATTTCAGATCCAAGCTTGCTATACCAGCTATCTATAATATCTCCTAGATGACCGTTCTTGACTACAGGAATTGAAATAAATTGAGGAAATCACAAGACAAATGTTCCCATTTCTTTTTTAAAAAAGAGCAGAACTAAATCTTGTGACTAGGCTCAGTCTGATGATGCAGCAAAACTGCTAAAATGACTTCATATAAGAAGAAGACACATAAATCATAAGGAGGAAACCAGAAGAGGCTTTCTTTATAATCCCACTGTCGTGCTTTCAAGATGACACATAAATAATGTTTTCTTGTTTATTGTTAATCATTGTAAGAAAAGATCCATATTAGTCTTTGGTATCCCAACATCAGAAGGAATCTGGTAGCACATTTTCAGACTAACAGCATAAGCTTTGGATAACTCACAAAACTAATTCCTGTCAGAAAAAATGTTACCAGACTCCCCTGTTTATTTATTAAACCCTTGTTCTTTCAGTTCTTCCTATTTTCTTTCTTATTTCTTGTTGCTATTTATTCTTAAGATTCATTTAAAATATGGTCATGAGAGAAAAGAAATAATATGCTTGCCACAGCTGGTTTTGCTGCTATGATCTGTTCATACAACATGTCATTGATATTATAAATCTTAAGGGAAAGAACCTTAAGGAGGAGGAGTACATTTAAAAGCTAGAGAAATGGTGTCAGCATCTATAAATAAAGATGAAAAACAGAATAACCAATTCCAAGATAAGCAGCTTTCTGAGAATTAAGGTGTTTTGTTTGGGTCTACTCAGGTCTACATTTCTTAACAAAAACTTTTGATGTAAAGATGCCATTATACCAAATACCAAGTCTTATTTTGGCTCAGTCTTTTCTGAAAATAATGTTTTCTGAAGAACAAATGAAACTGATAGAATCGTTGATAAAACTGTATGTTGGGGCTGGGAAGCATATTCAGGCATCTACATCTTTCAAATGCTTAGAAGTCTGCTTTGAGATCTTTTCCAAGTCGTCACTGCTGGGACTGATGGAGAAGCAAGCACTTGAACTTGTGTGCAAATGCAGAAGTGATTGGGGAAGATTATTAAAGCAGCCATGCTGAGCATCTGGAGGGTACAGTTGCCTCAATCTTTCAAGAGTGCCTATTTTGTTGTACCACTTACTTTGTGAAGCATCTCTTCTTTGCACAACTCTAATGCCTGCAGTATTTATTTGGAATAAGATTAAATAACTAGGAAGACATGAAATTCTGAAGTTGCTGAATTTTTGCTGAAACATTTTGTATTTGAAAAATCTTGGAGAATTGATGAAATGCCAGATGATTACAGGAGGCAAATATCAAAAAGAGGAAAAAGGAAGATCCAGGCACCCACAGAACCAATTAGTTTGACATCAATACTTGGGGAATTTCTAGAGGAAATCTTAAAGCTACTGGGCTAAAAGCAATATAGGCATTTTTCCCTAAGCCAAACAAGTAAGAATTAACTGCCCCCCAATTTATTGAGATGGATACATTACAAATGTGACAACCCCCTCTCCCTAAAGTGTAGTATTCCTTTCACTGTCTTGTGAATCATGGGTTGCTTAGAGCAGATTTTTTTAAAAAAAATCTGATTTTGTTCTGTTTTATAGCACCTACACATAGCTCTCACTATGGCATATTGAGAAGTTACAAGAATGTTTCACAAAAGACATTTGTATTCCTTTTGCAAAACGATTTAACGATTTCTGTATCTTCTGCAGAACACAAGCAATTAGATGTGGTTTCATTATTGATGTGCTTCAGTTCTTTTAAGATATATATACATTTTGAAATAAAAACTCTATTTTTGCATCATGAAGTTTGGAATATAAAATGCTATTCCATATCAGGAAATCCCTGGACTTGTGTATTCCAACTTTGAAAGCTGCCTAGAGAAAAGGCCTTGATTTTACCTTCTCCTTTTCCGTCCATTCAAGTTCCAGACTGCAAGATTCCTTCTGCCCTTCACAGCCAACATTTCTATAAAAATACTCTCCTGTGAGACACTTTCTCTCCTATTCCTTGAAGATTTTTTTTTTAACTTTTTGGCTTGAAGATCTAGTAGTTGCACCAGAGTGGCCAGTGAGGAAGATATGTGGTGGGTAGTCCCAAAGGTGCTTTTTCAAAAGACAAGTGAACTTTCTTTGTTTTTCCCTTGAAGACGTTTCGCTTCTCATCCAAGAAGCTTCTTCAGTTTTTTCATTCATTCTGTTCATTCAAGAATCTGAAGAAACTTCTTGGATGAGAAGTGAAATATCTTCAATAAAAAGTCCATTTGCCTTTTGAAGAAGCACCTTTGGGTCAACCATAATCTGGATTACGGGAATCTCCATAGACATGTGGTGGGCAGGTTATTGCACTGCTGTGCTGACTTATCTTTGACTGAAACAAATGGAACTGAATTGAAATTGAATCCAGCAAAGATCATCATCCCATTCTATCTTGCAAATATAAGAACTTAACTTGGGTTCTCCCTACCTGGCTGCTCTCCAGAGATATTAGGAAAACACAATAGTTACTGACTGCCTTATTAAAAATGATGGAAATTGCAAATTAGGAAAGAAAAACTATTAAAAGAAATGTAAAGGATACATCCCATAGAATTTCCCCTCCAATTTCGGCATGACTAAAACTGTGCACACAACACAATTTGTTTATGCATGAGAGAAAAACTCTGCAGGAGAGGAAAGGAGAAAGAAAGAAATCAGTCAAATTAGGAGAACTTTGTGGTGACTTCTTAGGAGATCTATTTAAAAAGTATTTTAAATAAATAAAATTATTTCATAATTTATTCTAACAAACTTTGTTTGGATCATGGCAAGCACTGTTAGTCTGAGATGTTTATCTTCCTATGCAAAATTGGTTTGTTTGGATTTTCTTACATAAATTGCAATTAATTTGGTCTTAATCAGCAGTAGGATAGGGAGAAATGCATATTTCCCACCCATCCCCAGGGCTTTTTTTTCTCATAGAACGTCCAGAACAGAGTTCCGGCACCTTTTTTGGATGGAACCTTGTAGGGTAGGCAAGGCGGGTTGTATGACGTGTGTGAGTTCCGGCACCTTTTTTATATATAGAAAAAAAAGCACTGCCTATCCCCATTCATGTATGTTATTAAAAACTACAATAGGGGCCACCAACATTTTTCAAATAATTTTCTCTCCAAAGTTACATGGCGAGGTTTTTTATTTCTAATTATTCACATTGAATAGAAAAAGAAAACTTTCAGCCAAAGATGAAGAAAATGTTAGTAAATGTCTCCTGGGAGTGATATAAGACTAATTAACTCATAATGAATGCCCAAGACATTTATGTGGTCTTGACATTCATTTGAAACATGATACATAATGTCTTCAACATTCTGCAACAAACCTACATTTCTACTTCCCATACAATCCTAAGGGGATGGCACGTTGAAGGAATTCCCATCACTGGCCTTTTTCCATTCAGCAGTTCAGGATGGTGGGACTGGCAAGGAGATGAATAATAGTAATAAAAACATAATAGCAGCATCCATTAAACTACATGAAATACCATTCAAAGAAATCTAAAAGCTCCAAAGGAAAGAAGTAGTAACTCAAAAGAAAAATAACTTTTGTTGAATTGGAAGATTTTAGCACAATATTAGATTGGATAATTGTTACATAGAATGTGTCAAGTAATAACTGTGTTGGCTTTTAATTGTGCTGACCCAATTAAGGCATTGACTAAATTCACAGGTATCCTGGTGTGGCTTCCTTGGTTTTTAAGACATTATATTGCAATTTATAAAACTTGTTTTGTGACTACTCTAGCATTCCAACTAAGCCAGTGATTAACTTGGATTTTGGCATTGCTTAGCAGCACATCACAACCGGAGAACGAATCTGCTTACAGAAGAAACATCTAGCTCCATTATTGCTAATGGAGATGAACCTCCCCAAGTCCTTATTCAAGATACACACCTTCTTTCTTTGATTATAAATTTGAAGCATCTTCTCAGATTTTATATTTGATGAACCTTTGTGAATTCTGCTCTGAAGCACAAGAGAAGTCCTACCTTTTTTTCCCCAGACCACTTGATGGTGCACATCATGAATTGGATACAATGGCTATATTATACTGCAGTTGGACCTCACTGTTGGATTAAGCTCCAAGAGAATTCAACTACTTTATCAATATTGGGTCCATTTTAACAAAAACAAAACTTTGCTACCTGTTGTCCTATGTCACCAGATGATTATTTTTGTGATATTTCAATTAGTTCTAAAAATAATGTAATGGATTTTGATTGTTCTCCCTGACCTCACATAGTTGTTTGTAAAACTGGAGAAGGCTGATTGAGAAAATATTTACATTGCCTTCTTTAATGAAAGGCAGAATTTAGACTAAACAAACACCATGAGGATATAATTTCATCTTGCAGGTTCCATCAAGAAAGTTTATATTGCCATCTAGTGGCTGATACTAATACTTAATACTGTGCATTGTTTTATGGAGTCCTTGGTGCTCTTTTAATTTGATTTCTTACAGATATTTCATTACCCAACCAGATAACATCATGAGTGTTGATTTTGCCCTCTGTTTATATACAGTAGCTTGCCCTACCAGTATTGATATGGGTGTAGTATCTTGATTAGCATATTGTTTTCTGCTTGACTGTTTGCCTGATGTTAAACCCTGCTTATTTGGGTGACGAATGTTGAAAGAGATGTATTCTGGCCTTTTTGTTTCCTTCTTAGCTCTTTTACTTTTTTTTAGTG